CGTGGAAGTTCGGGTTAGTCAAACATCTGTTATTAAAGGAGTGTGCCCTATTGTTGACTGATTACGTGGAAGTTCGGGTTAGTCAAACATCTGTTATTAAAGGAGTGTGCCCTATTGTTGACTGATTATGTGAAAGTTCGGGGTTAGTCAATATCTGTTATAAAAGAGGTGTGCCCTATTGTTGACTGAATACGTGGAAGTTCGGGGTTAGTCAAACATTTGTTATTAAAGGGGTGTGCCCTATTGTTGACTGATTACGCGGAAGTTCGGGGTTAGTCAACATCTGTTATTAAAAGGGTGTGCCCTATTGTTGACTGATTACGTGAAAGTTCGATGTTAGTCAACATCTGTTATTTAAGGGGTGTGCCCTATTGTTGACTGATTATGTGAATGTTCGATGTTAGTCAACATCTGTTATTAAAGGGGTGTGCCCTATTGTTGACTGATTACGTGAAAGTTCTATGTTAATCAAACATCTGTTATTAAAGGGGTGTGATAAGCCATGATTATATAAAGTTAAACGTGTAATTTCCTGGTAATTATCACAACAGAACAACTGTATTAAACACTCACTGTATCATGTTCTCCAGGCGGTTATAAATAGTCTAACGTTTTTATTCAAGAACGTCACGTGCGTAGGAGGATGTCGGATATTTTTTATAAACGTTTTAGTATCGCTGTATTATATTTATATGTTCCTCTGTTTGTTTCACACACAAAAAACTATGACTCAAATGAAGAAATTTTGAACGCATATGTATTTAACAAATTTGTAGAGTTTATTAGACGAATTGTAATTATTTATTTGTTTTTGAGAGGCCAAGCGTGGCTTGTTGGTTAGCGTGCCGGACTATGGATCCAAGGGTACACAGTTCCTGTCTTATTGCTAGAAAATTATACTTCGCCTTTGGGGCAGCGGATACGTTATACGAGTGACAGTGAAATCCCATTATTCGATAAGAGTAGCCCAACTGTTGGCAGTAGGTGTTATTGACTAGCACCTTGACCTCTTGTGGCTAGTCTGTTAATTAAAATTAAGGATGGCTAGCGCAGAGATTAATAAAATGTTTATATTTGGTAGTATATAAACTCGTCGAAAGAATGGGGTCGATTGTTAAATACAATTATTCAGAACTCATTTTGAATATACAGATATTTTGTGAAACCGTTAAAAATATGTTGACTTTAAAGAGGGGGGGGAAGTGTTTTTAGGAAATCGTTTAAAAACTTCGTGAAAAAGATACAAGCTGTTTTTTGTTCTTGTTAATGATCGAAACCTTTATAAAAATATTAAGTTATTTAATTTTTAGTGCTTTGAAATAATTTCTATCAATGCTGTATTATATTTACATATTTGAATCATATTTGATGTCTATTGAAATTTAACTTGCCTGTAGAGGGCGCCTGCATATTAATCAAAATAAGTTATTTCATTAAAAGATAAAATTACTATTCGCAGAAATTATATATATAAGTATATATGTGTATATATTATTGTAACTTTGGTATTTTCCGAAAATAACGGTTGCCTAGTTACTCAGCGGTAAGCCTAAGAGCTAGCTTATGACATTAAATAAAGAGCTCGATCCCCACGGAAGACACAAATACTGTAAGTATGGTATACATGTGGAATGTTTCAGGACAGTTATTTCATGTTAAATACGAAAATAAATTTTGCATTAATATATCTGTATTTTAGGTAAAAAAACAACAACAAACAAAACAACAAAAAACGTGAGAGTCTGATCCTATGATGAAAGTTATAAAAACATTACATGAAATTGTTCTTTTATTAACTGCTAACGTTTAATTATAACGTTGTATATTAAAAATCTATTTAATTACGCGTGTAGAACACATGTGCTTGTATGTAAGTACATACGTGTGTGTGTGTGTTTATAAATTAGAAGGCTTAGGAGCGTACAAACACAAGGTGAATTTAAAAAAAAGGATAGGGGACCACGAGGTCATTCTACTCCCAACAACCTATTATATCACTTCTAGTGTCCATATAGGAGGTGTTACTGTTGAATAATTCAGTTGTCTGTCCAAAGCACTAATGAAAACACGATACATAATGGCTGAAGAACAGTTGAAACATGGAAAATATTGCGATTGGTTTGTTAAATAAAGTAAAGAAGTGAGATTAGTGAAACTTAACTAACTTTCAGTCTCTACGTAATAACTTAAGTGATTATTCGGTTGCCTAGGGTAAAGCAGCTGGTGTACGTTTAGGTATGATGACAGCTGGTGTTTGCATATGTGAGCATGCGTATCTGGCGCTAATTTCACAATGAGGAATGCTCAAACCTTGCAGTTTATACTCTTTTTCAACTGTTGGAAGTTGTATTTTTCCCCCTCTTCTTCTTCTTGCGTTTGGCATGTTCTCACGTGTTTGTTTATGCTTTGTTTTCACACAGACTTTATATGTGTAACGTATTACAAGTTCTGTAGCCCACGATATATAAAAAAAACTTCATTTTTATTTCGTAGTAGCAGATTTGAACTGTATCTCACGGGTAAATGTTTGTAGCGTTATTTAATGCGGTAAAAATAATTTATTTATGGCCAAGCACTGCGCTTTTTTTAAAAAAAAAATCTCAATTCTTTCTGGCACTGAGTTTCCTTATTCACTTTGGTAGGAAATGTCTAAAAACGAGAACTAACACCACCACGTGTCTTCGTAACGAACTTTAGGACCGTGGGAAGCATTAGGCAAGAATTCATAATGTCTTGCATAAATCTTTGAAGTTCTGTCCTTTTTTTTTCTTTTTAGTTCGTTATTTTAGACGCGTTTCGGCCAAGTGATTAATGTGCTTTGCGGTACTCGAACATGACTCATTGTTTGTGTCTCTTGATCGTTGTAGAGAATATACCGAATAAACAAGATGGCTGGCATCTTTCGACTCGCTACTTCACGCATGCGTATGAACTTGTCCTAATATGTCTGTGTTCCAAGGATAATTTGTGCGTTAAGTGACGCTGTTTTAATATATGTATTTAAAAAAACAAACAAACCTGTAACTTGTATTTGTAGAGTGTATAGTGTGTGTGTGCGAGAGATAACATATGATTATTATGTTTGACGTGCAAAAACGTAGAGAGCACGAACAAGTCACTATGATATAGAATTTAAAAAGCCACCCTTGAAGCGGTAAGTTTGCGAATTTGCAACGCTAAACTCCGGGGTTCGATTCCCCGCGGTGGCTACAGCAGATAGCTCATTGAATATATAACAAACCTACTGAATTGTTTAGAACCTACAGTTTTAAATTAAAACAATGATCGAAAGCATACATACGTCAAAATACGTATTACAAATAAACAGTAAATATCTAAATAGTATGAACAATACAGTTTTTTGTTTCTGTTTTCAAGCGTATTTATTATATTTTCAATGGGTTAAGTCAAAGCGTTGGCTTGAAGTAGTGTATTTTTATGTTAATTTTTCGTATATAATAATTTGAACTGGGCTTGAGTTTCATTAAAACTTCCTCATTACGAAGGCTCTTGTTGTTACGTGAAAAATGATTGGTTGTTAAAGGGCTCTCCTGCTGACATCCGTTACCAAACCCAGAGATACAC